CCTAGCAAGGCTCTGGAGACAGTGTGGACCAGAAGCAGACGTAGGTCCTTCCCCTGGATCACCCAGCCTGTGAGAGGACCTCCTTAAGGAAGGGGCTTAAGAATGATGAGGAGAAGGAGGCAGAGAGGAAGGAGTGTCCCAGGCATGTGAATCACATGCACAGTGGTCCAAATGATAGTCATGGTAACGAGGTCTTGATAAAGAAGCTGCCTGTCAGAGGCTGGCCTACCAGGGACCGGGCAGTGACAATGAGGATGGAGAGGACCAGGCCTCCAGGGAGACAGAGGAGATCTGATCCCTGTGCAGGTGGATGGAACATGAGCACTGGGCCAGTTTCTGAGGCCCGAAGTGTGGCCTGACCAGGATCTGCACAGACAAGGAGGTCAGGAAGCCTGGTGACTGGTCTCAGACTAGGGGGAATGAAACCCCAGGCTGGACCACACCAAGGGCAGGCTGTTCTGTTTGGGCAGGAGGATTTGAAAATGCATGGAGCCTCCCTGGTAAATGGATCACTGACCCTGGCCTCTCACTTTTCTCATGATTTCTGGTGCTGGATCCACAAAGCCTTTTTCCTTCCTCTTCTCCCTCCCTTCCTGTGGGGGTCACCCTTCCCCTCCCCCCTGCCTTCCTGGTGCCACATGGTGTCTGTTGATAGACAGTGAACTGGGTCTGAGAATTCGTGGGCTCCTCACCCCCTTTCTTTGGGATTATTCTTGGCTCCAGGAAGGCAAACTGCTTCTGAACCCTGCTCTGCTGGCTGCTCTGAAAGTGTGGGCCTCAGTGGGAGGCAAGGGCCTCCTGGTTTCTGGTCCTGGTGCCACTGAGGAAGCAGCATGTGCATTGACGAGCAGAAAGGTGACAGCCAAGTTTAGAGTGGTTCTTAAGGTCTAAGTGTCTCGAGACACTGAGACCCTCCCCTGAGCACTGATGTTCTGGGGCTCCCCCTGCAGCAACCTGAGAATAGCTGGCCTGGCAAGCCGATGCTGGTGGAGTGAGAGGAAGGTCTCAGAGTACTCCTTGACTCATGGCAGTCACTTTGCAAATCCCAGAGCGTGAGTGTCAGGTTATTCAGGAATGCGTTCTACATTGAAGGTGCGGAACAGGTTCAAAGGGCTTAATATCTGACTTGGGTTTATCCCTCAACAGCAATGCTGGCCAGGTCCTATTCTTCATGGGGCTCCCAGTCTGGTGGTCTCAGAGACTCCATAACTGGATGTCATGGCTAGCTTTCAGTGCCTTGGAGGACCACCAGAATCTTTATGACCTGCACTGGGAAGGTGAGGTCACCAGGGTTGGGGGCAGTGATGAAGTGAGCCTGGGTTTGGGCATGATATGGGTATGTGTATGATGTCAGGTGGATTTCTTAGTTCGGTATGTCAGTCTCCTCAGCACTAAAAGGGAACGGTTGTAATGGCCTCTCCTGTGATGTGTCAGTCCAGGTCAGATGGCCTCTGCATGGTCAGCAAAATAGTTACCCGACATCCTTGAGATAACCAGAAAAACGGAGCCAATTTCTAAGACCCAAAGATCAGAAGTGAGATGAAATGCAGGGTGGCAATAAAGGTAACTAGTGACTATTGCTCCATCAAGGAGCTACTCTTATTTCCAGCTTGGCAGTTCCTGCCATCTGGGCAGGGTTCCTGAGGGCCAGGGGTGTGGACAGGCTCTGTCAAGAGAGCTTCAACATTCCTGCTTCCTTTCTGTGCAGATCAAAGTGCCCACAGCTGTGGGGACTCCACCCATGCTGTAGACGGCTTCTGGGAGGTTTCAGTTGTAGCCAGGACCCCTGACGGGTGTGTCACAATTCTGAGGTCCTTGAAACCACATCTGATAGAAGCTACTGAAACTGTTTCTGGCCCGACATGGAGGAGCCTGTATTTGCTTGAGAAGAGTCGGGACTGAGACCCAGTTTGGCCCATAGCATGTATGGTTTGGCAAGGCATTTGGACTCTGTGTTTTGTTTTCTCCATCTGAGGGACAGGGATACCGATTAGGCCTTCTTGGGGGCTGTGTATGTGAAAGGTTTAGTGAGCCCTGCAACGTGGTTACATCCTTGTCAGGGTATAGCCATGCCTGTGGCTATGGCTATGGGTCTTCTCCAGTTTTGTCGCCACAGATCAGGAAACTGGGGACATGGGATAGGGTGGATCTTAGGTGGTGACTTCCTTTCTGTCTGGCTTTCCCAGTCCCAGATCATCTAAGTAGTCTCCTTGTTGCAGTCCCTAGCAAGATGATCCCAGGCCTCTAAATTGGAAGCCCAAACTTCCCCTGGGAGTTAAGGGGATGGTGGCGCAGCGACTCAGCCCTCCAAAACAAGGACTGAATGGCATGTCCTCTTCATGGAAATTGGGATGAGTTGTGAGTACGCAGTCAGTTAAGACCCCTGTCTGGCATCATTGTATTGATTTTTTTAAATTTAGGATCTAGTAGCATGTTTTTTTACATGGTGTGCACCATGCCCAGTACTTGTCCAGTGATCACATTTACACAGAGGACAGAGCTTAAGGAGCTGAACCTAGTGTAGGGGGTCTGGAAACCTTCTTAGAGGTGGTATGGTGTAGACAGAGGTCTGGAAACCTTCTTAGAGGTGGTATGGTGTAGACAGAGGTCTGGAGGCTAATGGAGTAGTATCTTATTTACTGTTCTATTGCTGGAAGAGACACCATGACCAAGGCAAGTTATAAAAGGAAACATTTAATTGGGGGCTTGCTTGCAGTTTCAGAGGATGAGTCCATAATCATCATGGTGAGGAGTCTAACTGCAGGCAGGTAGACATGACTCTGGAGCAATGCCTGAGACTTACATCCGATCTACAGGTTGGCTGCTTAGACAGACAGTGTGCAATGAATGGACTTTGGAAACCTCAAAGCCTACCCCCAATGCCACACCTCCTCCAGCAGTGCCACATCTCTTAATCTTTCCCAAATAGTCCCCTAACAGGGGACCAAACATTCAATATATATGAGCCTATGGAGGAACTCTCATTCAAATCACCACAGGTAATGTAAGGGCGGAGGGTGCCAGGCAAGGCACTTACACACAGGGCAGAGCTGTATACAAATGCCAGGCTGACCTGGCATGGCATGAGGCATAGTCATGAGTGGAGACTGACCCCAGGAGGGATGATTGGAACTATCCATAGCAATAGAACCTGAGTCATGGGGAGACTGCCCACCTCTCAGCTTCTGAGCCTCCAAGGACCTGGTCCCAGAATGGAGGGTGAGCCCCACCTGGTGGCCTGGGCCATGGACCAGGTCAAGGTGATGATTTTATCCTGAGCAAGTGGGTAAAACTGACTTTGAAGTCCCTTCCAGCTGTCACACCCCAGTTCCTCAGAAGCCCCCTGGGATAGCAGACTATATGAAATATAAATCAATAGGTTAAGACCGCACTTGTCTCCTGCCCAGCGAGGCCCTGTCACTCTGCCTACCTCTTCTGTATTTGGAGGATCATCTCTGACTGGGCAGGCCATGCGCTGATGGGAAGACATCTCTTTGTTCAGGGGTAGAACCAATCTTGCCTTCTTGACAAGGCTCTACTTTTCTCTTTAATCATCGCTGCCTCTTGGCTATAAGCTGCCCCAGCTCACTGACACCCTCTCTTTCTATTTCCCCGCTCTAATCATCAGGGAAAAACAGATACCTGATCAGTCATCCTCTTGGGACCCATGCCTGGAAAGTTCTGCTCCTGATGAGGGAGGGGCAGAGGGGTGGACGTGGCCAGTGTGGTAACTCCAAAGTAAGCAGTCTAAGGACTTCTACCAGAACCAAGAGTGCCCAGGTTCACCTCCCAGGGTTCCCATGACAACGGGACTGTTAGGTGTTGGTAATATGGACTGGCAGTGAATGAAATGGAGTTTGATGTACGTGAGAATCCAGCCACTAGCAGAGTAATTGCCAATCAATCTGTCTCCCCCTGAATTTCCTTCCTTCCTTCCTTCCTTCCTCCTTCTGTCCCTCCCTTCCTCCCTTCCTCTCTTTCATTCTTTGTCTTATATGCATGGGTTTTGAAGATCACCCGGGTGTTTGGAACACATTTATTTCCATTCTCTGAGTAGTTGTATTTTCTTGGCTGCTTTGTCATGGGCCCCCTGTGTGTTGAATAGTTTAACAAATAAAAGTGTCAGCTGGTGATTTATAGACCCCTCTGGGCTGTCACCCTCCCCTCCCAACCCCTGTCATCACTCTGCAGTCCAGGACAAGGAATGACAGCACAGCCTCAGGGGCTGGCTTCTCTCTAGGTCAGCCACATCAGGCAGCCATCTATGGGTTGCAGGGGCTGCATTGGCGCATTGATGCACATATAGCCCTGCCTTCAAAGGCTTGACGAATACACTCGGGGCCTGTTTTGCTTTATTTTCTTTGTTGCTGTGACAAAATACCCCACAAAAGAATTGTAACAGAGGAAGGGTGTGTTCAGCTCGCAGTTTGAGGGTACAGTTCATCACGGTGGGCAAGACTTGGCAGCAGGGACACGAGGCAGTTGGTGGCATTGCATCCACAGCAAGGAAGCAGAGAGACAGATGCTGAGCTCAGCTCACCCTCTCCTTTTCACCTAATCCAGGGCCCAGCCCATGGCATGGTACCACCCACCTCATGGTCGTCCCACCTCAATGAACCCAGTCTAGAAAAGCCATCACAGACCTGTCAGGAGAGTCTCCTAGGTGATTCTAGATCCTGTCCAGCTGACAGTGCTGATCATCACGGTGTGCATACTGTGACCACAGCCTTGCTGAGTATTTGGCCACAGTTTGGGCTTGCCTGAGGCTGCGTTTAATGATTCCCAGAGAGTGGCAGCTGAGATGGGATGTCTCCAGAGTCATTCTAAAGAGAAGAAGGAAGTTTCCAAAGCAGAAGCAAGGCTGTGTCTCAGTCTTACGATGCATGGCCATCAGGCAGTGGGTTTTGAGGCATCCTAAGCATTGGGATGGGAAGTGTCTTCCTGTCTCAGAACCTGGAAACCAGCTGATGTCCACATTTCCCTTTCTGTTGATACCACAGGTCATCTTGATCCTGACAAAGTACTACCATGCAGACATGGGGAAGGTTCTGGAAAGTTCTCTGTGGCGGTAAGTCAGCCTGATGGGCTTTTCTCTTCCTATACATGTGTGTCATCGTCTCCCAGTCTCCTGGCTAAGGCTGGAGTCCCACCAGGGCTCCAGCAGCTCCGGCCCACTTATGGGCCCCACCAATTTTCAGTGGCTAGAAAGACATAATGGAGATGTTGAAAGCGGATTAGGAGCTTCATCAGGGGGACAAAGGGCTCTGGCAGATGGACAACTGTTTGGAAGGCTTCTTTCCTCGCTCTTTTCTGTCTGTTGTTTTCTCCTGGCTCTTTTTGCCTGCTCCCTGGAGGAGGAGGCTGGCAGCATGAATCCAGGTCACTGCACAATATCCCTGGCTCTGCTCTGGACTCCATAGGCAGCTCCCGAGCCCCCCAAAGCTCAGGCTGGCCTCATTGTCGGGGTAGTTTGCTTTCTTTCCGGCTTAGCCAAAGAACTGTAAATAAATAACCCACCCAGGCGGGATATCTCTTTATATGTGAAACATGAATTGGGCCCAAGGACATCAGACCGTCTTTGATGTCTGAGAGGGGAGGAGGGAGGAGGAGGCTGCAGAGACCATTTTGGCCATTATCACCGACAGTTCTGCTCAAAGCATGAGGACCTCTCTGGGCTTCGGGTGGGCATCTTTCCTCCCACAGGAATTTTACTACTCTAGTCACTCTTGGTGTGGGATTGTTTTGCTTTCTCTGTGTGTTTTTCCAGTAGTGATTAATTCATTTTAATTTGAGTTTGAAAAATACCTGCCAGTTGGGACCATTTGTTCGTTTGAGATAGGGTCTCATTCTGTATCCCAGACTAGCCTGGAAACTCATCATGCAATTTCCTGCCTCTGTCTGCAGAGTGCTGGGAGCCAGGCCTGCGTCCCTGCACCAGCCTCATCAGAATGGTTTGCAGGAAGAGCCGCTTGCACTGCCTGCCATGGGATTTTGGCTTTGCTTACATCAGAAAGATTTGGCATCCCACTTGACATATCTCTGTGGTGTGTTCAGAATATGCTCCGATGGTGCCTGGAATTGTTGGTTTTTTTGTTTGTTTTTTTTGTGATGGCAGTGTTACCTAGGGCCAACTGACCAGGTCACTGTGGTACTAAAAACCCCTTGAGTTTTTGTCATGCCTCCCCAGCCTTTCTGGGCCAGCTCCCTCAGCTAGGAATTCACTTCCTCACACACAAATCTGTTCCTGCAATGCTGGGAAAAGCGGTCAGGAATGGGCCAAATTCCTGTGTGGAGGGTAAACTCTCCTCGTGGAACCCTGATGCTCTCAATGTATCTTGCTGCTCTGGTTCTTGAGGAGGGGGAATACTGCTGCAGAATAAATTAGGCCTTAAATTCCAGTGGTGGAGCCCATGAGGTGACTCAGTGGATAAAGGCGTTTGCCACCAAGCCTGACAACTTGAGCTCAATCCCTGGAACCATGTAGTAGAAGTAGAACTTCTCAAGCTGTCCTCTGACTTCCCACATGCGCACCATAGCCCAGGTGTCCACATTATACACATAATAAAACCTGCATAGATGAGGGAACATAAAAATTCTAGCAGCATTAGCTTCTCTGGGGACTCGCTCTAGAAGTCTGGCTCAGGGGTGTCACCTGGGGAGGGCACTGTCCTGCCCGGTGGAGTGTCTCCTTTCATTGCCATATGGATGGAGGTAGTCTTTATTCTTCTTGTACATTAAACAAAAATCCCAGACTTTGGACTCTAGCAATTGGGCTGTTCTGTTCCCCAACCCCTCGGATACCTTCCCTAGAGATTTCCAGAATGCTGGCTTCCTCCACTCTCAACTTGGCTAAAGGGACAGGAAGTGGAAGTCTCTGGAACAGTGTTTGGTGTTTGGATAGTGAGCTGCTTTCCTGGGGCAGTTGGGCTTCTGCAAGGCACGTGCCAAGGTTTAGGTCCTACTTACTTTGGGACCTCACGGGGTGTGGAGGACAGAGAAGGCTACCTGAGGTCAGGACTCCTGAGTGACAGGCTCCAAATTCTTCAGAAACAGATGGGGAAACCCAGAGGGCTAACCACCCCTTTAGAGCTGTGGGCCAAGCAAACTTCCTTCACAGAGCCTCAGTTTTTTTTAATCTGAGAGGGGTGAAATGGAGGAGAGGTGGTGAGACGGAATGACGGAAGTGGCTTACAAAACATCCCTAGGACGGTATGTTGTCTGAATTTGGATTTTCCCCAAAGCAAAGCAACAGATTTTAATTTCCCCTTCCTTCCTCATCACTGTCTTTCCACCCAGACGTTTTCTCGGCTTGATTAAAAATGCATTCAGAAGCACTAGTCATTTCCAGAAACTTCCCCATCTCCTCTGCTGGTGCAGTGACTTTCTATGTTTATATTATGCTTTTTTTTGTGCTGATGTGCTTGCACAGACTTAACAGTCTAAGGAGACTTGAGCTGAAGGTTTGCATTCCTTTCTCTTTTGCTCGTAACCAGGCTTCTATTTTGCACACTGTTCTGGAAGCCTGCACAGCCATTACTTTTCCGGCTGCTTATGGGCCTTTGAGCTGATTCTGACTTTGAGCTCCCATCCAGGGAGGGTCCAGTACTCACAGCACCAGTCTGACAATTTATCTAAACTTTGCCGGTTTGTCAGTATCCCAGCATCCACTTGGTTCCTGGTGAGAAGCTATTCTGATTACATTTTCTCATTGGAGTGTCTTCTGCTCTTATCTTGTTCCCACAATGGGACAGAGCAAGGAACACTGAGAGGCTGATAGCATGCCCGCGGGTCCTTTACTGGGTGCTGACTACCCGCTGTCTACATTTGAGGCCCGTGGACTAGATGGTTCAGGTGCCAGTGTCTGGGGAACATGTATTAAATCGGGTTATTAAAGGCACACTTATTGAATGCACACTGAGCCTCCCAAGAATTCTCCTGTGTAATCACAATAAATACATTTTTAATGGCAGGTCTGATATTTACATTCTGGAAATGGCTCTGGGAAATCGAAGCTGAATGCATTTTTAATTGTTCTGTGTTTAATGGACCTCGCGTCAGCCGCATCTCCCTCATGGCTTCCTTGACCCATCATCAGCACCTCTGTCTGCATCCTCTGAAAGTCTTGGGGCCTTAGAACAGTACAATGGTTTGGGAGAGACATTCCTACCTTAGGACATGTTGGCTGGCACCTAGTAATTGAAGTCATCTGTCTCCTTCCCTGGGCTCACAGGCCTGGCTAACGCCTCCTCACCCAAGCCAGAGTTGGTATACTGTCCATCCTTAAAACTCTGGGCACACTGGCTACTGTGCTACTACTGGAACAATTGACCACACTGGGACACTTAAAACAACAGTCATGGACTTTCATAATCTTGGAGGTCAAAGGTTCAAACCATGGTGTCACAGCCCAGAGCTTCCTCTGAAGACTATGAAGGCCCATTATGTCCCTGCCAGGCCCTGGTGGCTGAGTCACTGAGTCCTTACCTCTTCTGTGTGTGTTCATATGTATGTGGATGAACATGTGTGCAGGCACATATATATGTGTGTGCACATGTGTTCAGGTGCATATGTATGTGTGTGCACGTGTGTTCAGGTGCATATGTATGTGTGTGCACGTGTGTTCAGGTGCATATGTATGTGGGTACACACTGTGCAGGTGCATGTGTATGTGGGTACACACTGTGCAGGTGCATGTGTATGTGGGTACACACTGTGCAGGTGCATGTGTATGTGGTTACACACTGTGCAGGTGCATGTGTATGTGGGTACACACTGTGCAGGTGCATGTGTATGTGTGTACACACTGTGCAGGTACATGTGTATGTGTGTGCACACTGTGCAGGTGCATGTGTATGTGGGTACACACTGTGCAGGTGCGTATGTATGTGGGTACACTGTGCAGGTGCGTATGTATGTGGGTACACTGTGCAGGTGCATGTGTATGTGGGTACACACTGTGCAGGTGCATGTGTATGTGGGTACACACTGTGCAGGTGCGTGTGTATGTGGGTACACACTGTGCAGGTGCGTATGTATGTGGGTACACACTGTGCAGGTGCATATGTATGTGGGTACACACTGTGCAGGTGCATGTGTATGTGGGTACACACTGTGCAGGTGCATATGTATGTGGGTACACACTGTGCAGGTGCATATGTATGTGTGTGCACACTGTGCAGGTGCATGTGTATGTGTGTACACACTGTGCAGGTGCATGTGTATGTGGGTACACACTGTGCAGGTGCATATGTATGTGGGTACACACTGTGCAGGTGCATGTGTATGTGGGTACACACTGTGCAGGTACATATGTATGTGGGTACACACTGTGCAGGTGTGTATGTATGTGGGTACACAGTGCAGGTACGTATGTATGTGGGTACACACTGTGCAGGTGCATGTGTATGTGGGTACACACTGTGCAGGTGTGTATGTATGTGTGTGCACATGTGTTCAGGTACATATGTATGTGTGTGCACACTGTCTTGTCCCTCTTCATCCACAGCTAAATCCCTGCTTCCCTCCCAGCTGGCCACTGTACTGCCACCCACCCTTTCCCAGAAAGACCGAGGCACTTGAAAAACTGTCTGTTGCTGCTGATAGACTCGGTTCTACCTTGTGGCTCACACCTGCCCATCCCAACCCTCTGCCTAAACCCCTGGAGCCCAGGTGTCAGGGTTGGCAGGCAGAGCTGGAGTCACCACAGGGAAGTGGGGGACTTGGGTGCTCCTGGTCTCTGGAGTCTCTGTATGATATTTGCATTCACTTCCATAATAGAGCTGTGGGTTTGTGAGATAAAGAGAAGCGAAGGGAAAGAGAAATTCACAGCAACGTGCTCTGTGAGTGCCCTCTGGGAGAGAGCTGCTAGGCCTGCCCGGTGCTTCAGGACCCCACCCCATCACCACTCAGTATGGTGAGTGACTCCTGGAACTGAATGGGTCTCAGGACTCTGGGTTCTGAGTGTTAAAGCTGAGACAACCCTATGGACAATTCTGTCCCCTGAAGCCCACTGAAGACTAGCCTCTCAGGAGGTCTGCACAGTGCTGTGCCTGGGGGTCCTGTTTTCAG